GGATCTACTCATTGTGGTGGTTTCTCTTGTTGCAGAGCATGGGCTCTAGGCACGCGGGCTCAGTAGTTGTGGCTTGAGGGCTCTAGCGTGCAGGCTCAGTAGTTGTGGCACACGGGCTTAGTTGCTCCACGGCATGTGGGATCTTCCCAGACCAGGAATTAAACCCATGTCCCCTGCATTGACAGACAGATTCTCGACCACTGTGCCATCAAGGGAAGTTCCGCCTAATTATTTCTTAATCTATGAATCTATAATCTTCATAGATTTCCTGAAATACATTCTTTAAGAGAATGTGAAGCCTATCTGGAGGGAAAAAAAAAGAAATCTACTAACCCAATTGTTTGCTGTGAGAACAGTGGCTGCAGGTGTGAAAAGGGGGGGATTCTGAACCCTGGGTAAATGTTTTGAAATGCCATGATCTCATCTTTTTGCTGGAAGGCGATTAATCACTTCATCTGTAATTGCAGTAATAGTGTCTGCAAAGGGATTTGAGGTCATTTCTGGAAAACATTTGTGAGTTATGCAACCACTGAAAGCTACTAAAAGTGATTAATAAAGATATCTTAACAGGAGAGCAGAACAGATAGGGAAGAAATTATTTTTGAAATAAAAATCCTAATGGAAAAGGAGCAGAAGACACTGAAATCTAATAGTTGAGAGAAGAAAGAAAAAAACTGAGCACATCCTATCCATCTTTCTTAGTCAATTCAGCGTTTGAATCCAAAATATGACTTCTTTCCATTCCTGAGAACCCTTGAAGGTACTGAAACTGATTGGGTGAGACAGGAATGAGCAGTGTTGGAAAAATAGCAAACAATGTTACAAATGAACAGGAACTTCCGGTTTTCATGTTTGTTCAGTGCTTCAACATATATTCATTGCGTACCTTGTCAGGCACATTCCTAGATATATATGAGTGCACAGAACATAATAAGTAAAAAAAATGCATCCTCATAGAAATTGCATTCTGGTTAAGGGAAACACACAACAAGCAATGTGCTAAGTTGTTAAATTACATAGTATCTTAGATGGTAATAATAGGTCTTAGGGAAAGAGAAAAGAAGAACCACATAGAGGTGAAGAAAAGTATAGGGAGTAGGGAAGCATTGCAATAGTAAATTGGGTCTCCATAGTAGGAGTCAGGTGTAGATGAAATTTGAGGAAATAATTAAGGTGGTTAGTGATAAAGTCTTTATTCCTTCCCAAACGTTATATATTTATTTTCTTGACTTATTTCACTAGAGAGAAACACCAATGTAACAATGAATAAAAGTGCATAGAGCAGTTCACAATGTGCGGGGAAGTATTTTATAAGGGACAAAGAGGCATGACATTTGCAATAGCACTTTTGTAGAAGCATTATATAAGATAAAAGAAGATCCCTTCTGTATTAGTTTGATTTCCCTCTCCTCTCCATCTCTCTCTCCTCACACACACAGCAATTAAAAAAGCAAAACCAAAATAAAACAAAAAACACACTGGAAAAAGTATTTTGAGCTGAATAGAAAAAAACACTCAACAGAAGAAAATTTGTGAGAGGTTTCTTTGTTGTTGCATTCATTCATTATTTTTTTACGTTTATATTAGGTTCAGGTGTATAACATTGATTCATTATTTTTGTGCATTATGAAATGATCACCTCAGTAAGACCAGTTACTATGTTTGAGCACTGGTTACAATATTATTGACTATATTTCCTATGTGCAAATTACATCCTCATGACATTCATTTTATATCTGGAATTTTCTACCTTGTAAACTGCTTCACCTATTTTGTCCAACCATTCATCCCCCTTCCCTCTGGTAACCATGAGTTTGTTCTCTGTATCTATGAGTCTGTTTCTGTTTTGTTTGTTCATTTTTTTTGTTTTTTAGATCCAACATAGAGGTAAAATCATATAGTATTTCTTTCTCTGACTTATTTCATTTAACATAACACCCTCCAGGTCCATCCATGTTGTTGCAAATGGCACAATTTCTTATTTTTTATGGCTGAGTGATATTCCATTTTGTGTGTTATACATGGCTACACACACACATACATACCACATCTTTATCCATTCATCTATTGATAAACTTAGGTCCTGTCAATATCCTGGCTATTGTAAACAATGCTGCAATGAACATAGGGGTGCATATGTCTTTTCAAATTAGTGTTTTTGTTCTCTTCAAATAAACTGAAGTGTAATTGTTCAACCATTGATAGTTCTATTTTCAGTTTTTTAAGGAACCCCCATACTGTTTTCTACAGTGGCTGGGCCAATTTACATCCCCATCAACAGTGTTTGAGGGTTCCCTTTTCTCCACATTCTGGTCAACACTTGTTTCTTTTTAAAAAATTTATTTTACTTATTTATTTTTGGCTGCCTTGGGTCTTTATTGCTGCATGCAGGCTTTCTCTAGTTGTGGTGAGTGGGGACTACTCTTTGTTGCCGTGTGTGGGCTTCTCATTGCAGTGGCTTCTCTTGTTGTGGAGCGTGGGTTCTAGGCACATGGGCTTCAGTAGTTGTGGCTCACAGGCTCTAGAGCACAGGCTCAGTAGTTCAGGCGCATGGGCTTAGTTGCTCCATGGCATGTGGGATCTTCCCAGACCAGGGCTTGAACCCATGTCCCCTGCATTGGCAGGCAGATTCTTAACCACTGCACCACTAGGAAGTCCTGTTGTTTCTTTTTTTTTTTTTTTCTGGTACACGGGCCTCTCACTGCTGTGGCCTATCCCGTTGCGGAGCACAGGCTCTGGAGCACAGGCCCAGTGGCCATGGCTCACGGGCCCAGCCACTCCGCGGCATGTGGGATCCTCCCGGACCAGGGCACAAACCCGTGTCCCCTGCATCGGCAGGCGGACTCCCAACCACTGCGCCACCAGGGAAGCCCTGTTGTTTCTTTTTGATAAGCCATTCTGACATGCGTGAGGTGGTATCTCATTGTGGTTTTGATTTGCATTTCTGTCATGATTAATGAAGTTAAGCATATTTTCATGTGCCTGTTGGCCATCTGTATGTCTTCTTCGGAAAAATGTCTATTCTGCTTCTTAGCCCGTTTAAAAAAATTTTTATTTTAAATATAGAGTTGTATGAGTTCTGTATATATTTTGGATTATCAACCCCTTATTGGATATATCATTTGAAAATATCTTCCCCCATTCAGTAGGCTGCCTTTTCATTTTGTTAGTGGTTTCCTTTGCTGTGCAAAAGCTATTTACTTTAATGTGATCCCACTCATTTATTTTTGCTTCTGTTGCCATTGCCTGAGGAGACACATCCAAAAAAATATTACTAAGACTGATGTCAAAGAGGTTACTGCCTATGTTTTCTTCTAAAGAGTTTTATGGTTTTGGGGTCTTAAATTTAAGTCCTTGGGGCTTCCCTGGTGGCGCAGTCGTTGAGAGTCTGCCTGTCGATGCAGGGGACACGGGTTCGTGCCCCGGTCTGGGAGGATCCCGCATGCCGCAGAGCGGCTGGGCCCGTGAGCCATGGCCACTGAGCCTGCACATCCGGAGCCTGTGCTCCACAACGGGAGAGGTCACAACAGTGAGAGGCCTGCATACCGCAAAAAAAAAAAAAAAAAAATTTAAGTCCTTAATCCATTTTGAGTTTATTTTTATATGTGGTGTAAGTGGTCTAGTTTTATTCTTTTTTTTAATAAATAAATATATTTATTTATTTATTTATTTATTTATTTATTTATTTATGGCTGTGTTGGGTCTTCATTACTGCGTGTGGGCTTTCTTTAGTTCCGTCAAGTGGGGGCTACTCTTCGTTGCAGTGCACAGGCTTTTCACTGTGGTGACTTCTCTTGTTGCAGAGCACAGGTTCTAGGCACACGGGCTTCAGTAGTTATGACATGTGGGCTCAGTAGTTGTGGCTCACAGGCTCTAGAGCGCAGACTCTGTAGTTGTGGTGCATGGGCTTAGTTGCTCTGCGGCATGTGGGATCTTCCTGGACCAGGGCTCAGACCTGTGTCCCCTGCATTGGCAGGCAGATTCTTAACAACTGTACCATCAGGGAAGCCCCCTAGTTTTATTCTTTCATGTGTAGCTACCTAGTTTTCCCACCACCATTTATTGAGGCAACTGTCCTTTCCCAATTGTACACTCTTGCCTCCTTTGTCATAGATAAATTGACCATATGACTGTGGGTTTACTTCTGGACTTTTTACTCTGTTCCATTGATCTATGTGTCTGATCTTGTGACAAGACCATACTGTTTTGATTATGATAGCTTTGTAGTATGGTTTCAAGTCTGGGTGCATGATACCTCCAGCTTTGCTCTTCTGTCTCAAGACTGCTTTGGGTATTTGGGGTTTTTTGTAGTTCCATACAAATTTTAGAAACATTTGTTCTAGTTCTGGTGAAAAATGTCATTGGTATTTTGATAAGGATTGCACTGAGTCTGTAGATTGCTTTGAGTAGTATGTATATTTCCATGATATTGATTATTCCAATCCATGAGCATGGTATATCTTCCCATTTGTTTGTGTCATCTTCAATTTATTTCCTCAGTGTCTTATAGTTTTTAAACTAGAAGTCTTTCACCTCCTTGGTTAAATTTATTACTAGATATTTTATTCTTTTTGATGCAACTGTAAATGGGATTATTTTCTTCATTTCTATGACAGTTCATTATTAGTGTACAGAAATACAACAGATTTCTGTGTACTAATTTTGTATTCTGCAATTTTAGTCAATTCACTTAGCTCTAACAGTTCTTTGGTGGAGTTTTTGGGGTTTCTATATATACAGTGTCATGCCATCTGCAAATAGTGAGTTTTACTTCCTCCTTCTGTAAACTGAAATTTCAGAAACAGACCTGATTGAAATAAAAAGGCATTTATTTGGGGTTTGTTAAGAATGTAGTCCAGGAGGGAATTCCTTGGCAGTCCAATGTTTAGGACTCTGCCCTTTCACTGCCAAGGGTGCGGGTTCAATCCCTGGTCAGGGAACCAAGATCCCGCAAGCCGCCCCCCACCCCCCAAAATGTATTTAGTCCAGGACACACAGAGTCAAGGAGCATGTGAATTGTATTCTACTATACTACAAAATGGAGAAAGGTTAAAATGGAAGGCAAAAACTGCAAGGCCATAGTGAGTTACATAGTTGTCTGTCAGGAATTATAATTGGAGCAAGCAAGAAATAAGGCAGCTTGTTAACAAGGATTGGTTGGGGTTCAAAATGGTTGCAGTTACAAGGGGAAATTTTAGACCAAAAGGGTGAAGCTTCTGAGTGTTCTAAATATGGCTGATGGTGTCCTTGGGTTTGGTACAGTTCAAAGAAAGTTCAAATTCTCAGTGATGCCAGGATGTGTCTGAGATCTGATCCTTAATGGCTGCTCAACTCCATTTTGTATGCCTGAGTATGATTACACCATTACAATTTCAATTTGTCATTCCTCAAGGTAAAGATTTTATGACAGATGAATAATTCCAATATTAGGATTATCAGGATTAAAGAAAACATGAGGAAGGGGTAAAAAGGCTTACTGACCCTCAATGTGACAAGGTCAAGTATATAGGTACCTCAGTTAAAAAAAAGAAAAACAGTCTGAAACTATCAACAAAGTTGGGGTTACAGGCCTGGTCTCGACTCTTGCGATGAGCTGTCTACTCAGATGTCATCTGCTTCTGACCCAGGGAAGTTTTTCTTGTTCTGACGAAGGTCATCAATGGGTTGGGAGGTCCACTCAGGATTGGTAGCCTTTTAAAAATGAGAAACGTGACTCCATGATTGAACACCAAAGGTTTTGCTGCACATGGCTTAGTGAACAACCTGTTAATACCTGATTAACAACCTCTTTCCATTGAGGTTTCAAAGCATCTCCAGGGAGGTGTCTTTTCCAATAAATATGATCACCTGGTTGTAAATTATTTTCTTTAATGTCTTTGTCTCCTGGGAACTCTTTTTTTTTTTTTAAAGGTTTCTCACTTATAAAAGATTCTAGTACTAGTAAGCATGAAGCTTTAATGTTTTTAGTTAATTCTTGGCAATATGTTAAGAGGTCTCCTTTAACCACATTGGGCTTA